AACCAGGCCGAAACGCACCGAACCGCGGTAACGGCCGGATACCAGATCGTGGGAGAAGAGGAGACGCTGCGAACCGCCCGGAGGAGCCGAAGGGGGTAAAGGCAGAGCGGGGGCCGGGGTCGGGGCGGCGGGGAGCTCCGCCATGGCGCCGGGCTGAGCGGGAGAGCGCGCGGCCGCCGGCACGGGCTGGGGGAGGGGCGGGGCGGGCGGCGCGCGTGAGACGTCAGGGGGCGGGGCTTGCGGGGCCACGCCCTGTGCGTAGCGACGCTGTCGAGGCGGGCGTGGCCGCTGATTGAACACGCCCGCGAAAATGCCACGCCCATCAGGTGGGAGGGGCAGAGCGGAGGGAGGGGGGCATTGAGGAGTGACGTGCTCTCTTCGCTCCCATACATCGCGTCGGTTCCTATTGTGACCTCCCCGCTCCTGTGCGGGACATTCGGAAAACGTATGGAATCCTCAGGCAGATCGGTTATGAGGCAGAAAAAAATAATAAAAACCCAGGAGCAGCGTTTTCCCTCTTTTCATCCTTCCCAGCGAGGAGCTCGAGCTCCAGCTCAACCAATGGGCTGCAGCTTCTCAGTCCAGAGCTCCTGGAGGAGACTGGAGGAGCAGCGCTTGGATGTTGTGCACAGCACAGCGCTGCGTCCTTCTCACAGCTCCACAGACATGTTTCCAAGCACGGCTACGGTAGCGATGCTTCTCATCATCCCTCCGATGCACGTTGCAACACTGCTAATGAAATACAGATACGGGCAATAGGCACGAACCGGTGCGCAGATGGAACTGCCCCTCTTCAGAGCCATTACAAGCTCTGCTCCGGACCCACCAAACCCCTCAGACCCCGTTTCTTTTGGGCCCGGTTCCGGTGCGTGGGGCGCTGCTGCCACCGCGCGGCCGCTGCTCGGTGCCGCAGGGTGTGTGCGGGCCGGCAGGGAGGGACGGATGGATGGGTGCCCTGCTCGGGTGCACGGATCTTTGCGGCGAAGCCAGAGGAAGGTGTAAAACGGGACTGGCAGCAGTGCCTTCAAAAGACAACGCTGCAGCTACCCCAAGCAGCGTGACCGCGGAGCACCGGGACAGCCGGGAGCAAACAGAGGGAGCGAGGAGCCGCCGGGCTGCGCTCACATCCTCTCTGGGGGGAGAAGCCCATCCCCACAGCGCTGCTCTGAAGATGCTGAGTGCTGCTGCACGGCGAGCCTCTGGTGTTGGCCCTTCGCAGCTGGAGGAGCAGACAGAGACTGAGCAGGCTGCTCTCTCTTGCCATGGTGCTGCCTTCAGTTGCTCTGAAATGCCATTTCTGAACAGCAGAAAGTTTTTTTTAATGATTACTTTTGCTGATACAGAATCACAGAATGGCCCAGGCTGGAAGGGACCTCAAGGATCATGAATCTCCAACTCCCTGCCACATGCAGGGCCACCAACCTCCCCATCTAATACCAGACCAGGCTGCCCAGGGCCCCATCCAACCTGGCCTCAAAAACTCAGCAATGGACAGGGCATCCACAATCTCCCTTGGCAGCCTGTTCCAGCACCTCACCACTCTCTCTGTAATGAACTTCTCCCCAAATCTTCCCTCCCTCAACTTCAAACCATTTCCCCTTGTCCTGCTGTTATCTACCCTTTCAAAGAGTTGATTCCCCTCCTGTTTATAGGCTCCCTTTAGGTACTGAAAGGCTGCAATGAGGTCACCCCACAGCCTGTCTTTGAGGGAGGTGCTCCAGCACCCTGATCATCTTCATGGCTCTCCTCTGGACCCTCTCCAACAGCTCTCTGTCTTTCTTGTACTGGGGGCTCCAGACCTGGACACAGCACTACAGATGGGCCTCACAAGAGCAGAGTAGAGAGGGACAATCACCTCTCTGTTCCTGCTGGCCACCCCTCTTCTGATGGAGCCCAGTTGTTCCCTTTCCAGGAGCTCACGCTTGGGATAATCCCCATTTGGTTACACTAACAGGGACAAATACAGCTGGCTTCTCTTATCCTGCTCCTCGTGTAACAACCCCAGGAGCAGCTGGGGGTGCACACAGAAGGATGCATTACGTCTTTCCCTGTCCAAGCCCTGCTCTCCCTGCCAGCTCACCCCAAGTACGCAGCAATCAGCTAAATCAGCTTTATCCCCCCGCAGGCAGTCACACCAGGGTAAAGAAATCAGCCTCAGCTGCCTGATGGGATCCTTTGCCTGCTCGTCATCTTAAAGCCTCTCACCTCGTCTTTCATCATGGTTATAAACCCCTTAGAACTTCATCACGTGCTCCATAAATAACAAATATATAAGCGAGGCTCTGCGTGTGGCTGCAGCCCCATCCCTGCTGTCCCACGGCTGTGAGGAGCCGCAGGATCAGGCTGGAGAGGAGCAGCACCAGGTCCCCATCCCCATCCCACAGCCGGTAAGCCCAGCGTTTCTGGGACCTGGTGGTCCTCATGGCCTTGGGGATATCTGGTGGCCTTTGGGTTGCTGTGTTGTCCTGGGCTATGGGGAGTTGCCTCAGAAGGGAGGGAGCTGGGACACTGAGCTTGACTTGCCTTGGATTTTGGAGGTGAGAGCATCTCTGCGGGCCATGCAGATGCTTTGGGCTCTGTAGTGCACAAACACAAAAGGAGGGGACAATTTTACAGTGTGTACTTTGGGTGCTAATAGTACATCTGACATACGGGGATGTGGAAAGGAGCCACAAGGTGCCCCGAACCTTAATATAGCCTGGGTCATAAACAGCTATAGAAACATGCAGGAGGCTGTGTTAGAGTGGGAGAGACAGTTTGATGGAGCTGGGAGGAGAGGGGTTTCCTCCCAACTCTAGCTATCCCTCACTGTGCGCCCAGCAGCCATCTCAGTGTGCACATTCCCTGCATGCCAAAGACCTTTGCATGTGCAGGGAGCTGAGGAGCTGAGCAAAAAGCAAAAGCTCATTTCCAGAAAAGAAACACAACTCCACCAGCCCGCTGGCTGTGTGACCTGGGCTGCCAGAAGTGCCGGAGGGGAAAAGATTCAATGGGAAGGAGCTGAGAGCAGGCTGCACCCCACAGCACTTCTGCTCACGCTGGTGTGTTGGGGTGCTGAGAAGTTTCTATAAGCACAGGGGGCGTCTGAGCCACCAAAGCCTGCTGCAGAGCCCTGATGCAATCAGGGGGTGAGCAGATCTGAAAGCAAGCTGTGAATTCTACAAACATCACAGCATTCCTGCAGTACTGTCTCATTTTGCTCCCTTCCCATCCATGGGAGCACGAAGCACTCATTCCTAGCACGTGTTGGTTTGTCTTGCGCTTGCCCCTTGGCAATGAGAACTGGCACAAGGGATGCTAAATATTTCCCCTGCCCCTGACACCCCTTGTGCCCAAAGAGCACATCCACTGCTAGCCCAGCAATCCATTGAAAGGGAATCACAGCAGCACCCCATCTCACCACTTCCAGCACCCAGCCCTCAGCCTTTCCAGATGGAAAATTCCCAGCTCGCTTTGGCTCTGCCCTGTGCAACGCTTGTGCTGGTAATGCTTTTGTTTCTATAAATCCTATTAGCTGGAGGCAAGCCTATAATTAGCAGGGAAAGCCGGCACCTCTCAAACAATAATCAGAACTGACCTGGCTCCATGCTGGCTTTGCTGTGAATTGCTTTGAATATTGGCTGACTGGTGGCTCCCGCTTGGCTGGGAGCTGCTGCCACTATTCCTGCCCGCAGGCCAGGACTGCTCGGGTTGCACTTCTCTCTGGGTTTATTAACTTGGTTTGATTAGGCATGAAACATGAGGCGGATTTATGACACAGAATCTGACCCAAGCAGAGGGATCTGGCAGAGATGTGTAGGGTAGGTGGTGATGGATGGGACAGAGCAGCAGAGACAGTTCCATGGGCCATGGGACCCATAAGGGCTTTTTGGGCAAGGCTGGGGCTCTGCTTTTCTTTGCAAGGGAACACTAGAGGACTGCTCTCCTGAGCAAACTTCTACACAAGCATTTGCAGAGTCCGATCCCACATCTGTTCAGCAAGGACACCCTGACAGCACACCCCCAGACCTCCCAGCCTTTGGGGTGGTTGTGACCACAGGCACTGGAGCAGCTGCAGATGGGCTCATCCTGCCTGCTGGCCTATCTCAGCACGGCCATGATTTAGCCATAGGATTTACCCCCTGAGCAAGCTGGAAAAGTGAACAAACCCCCCAGCAGCACAAGCATGACACAGAATCACAGAACAGCCAGAGGTAGAAGGGACACACAAGGACTATCAAGTGGAAGCCCTGGCCCCACACAGCACCACTCAAACCCTACATGTTTCTTTACAAGGAGAGTGGTTTTCTTTACAAGGAGAGTGGTTAGGCCCTGGAACGGGCTGCCCAGGGAGGTTGTGGATGCCCCGTCCTTGGATGTGTTCAAGGCCAGGTTGGACGGGGTCCTGGGCAACCTGATGTGAATGTGTGTGTTTGGTGGCCCTGCTAGGCAGGGGGGTTGGAACTACATGATCCTTGAGGTCCCTTCCAACCCGGGTGATTCTGTGATTCTGTGATTCTGTGAGAGCAGTATCCCAACACTCCCTGAGCTCTGGCAGCTCAGTGCCATGCTTGCTGCCCCAGGGATCTGCTCCATGCCCAGCACCCGCTGATGCAGATCCTTTCCCTAATCCCCAACCTGATCCCCTGACGCAGCTCCAGGCTGGTCATCTCCGGTGCACACACAGCACCGATGTCACCTCTGTGCCCTGGACAGGGACAAGACGCCCAGCCCCAGCTCCATCCCACTGTCCAGACCCCTGGGGCTGGAGGTTGGCTACTCATGCCAACTCCCAGCGGTGACAGCAGGGTTGCTGTGGGTGGGTATTTGCTGTATCTATACCCACACATGTATATATAGCTAAAGGATGGCAGGCAGCCTAATCCCATACATGATCAACAGGTATTTTCGACAGCTAAGAGCTCAGGAAGAGATTGGCTGAAATTAAAGGTGCCGTGACACCGCTGGGGCCCGGAGCTGACAGAGCTGCCCCGGATAAAGGCGGCTGGGAGCAGAGCGGGATGCCGGTGCTCAGCGCGGTGCCGTTCCTGAAGCCCACCCACCCTCAGGGCCCACGCCGTTCTCCCGGCCGCCAGCGCCGGCACACGCTGCCTGCCAGCGAGTTCCGCTGCCTCAGCCCCGAGGACGCCGTCAGCGTGTTTGAGATCGAGAGGGAAGGTAAGGAGCTGCCCACCCCCCCCATCCCGCTTCACCCCGGAGCCGGAGCTGGGAGCTCAGCGCCGTCCCCTTCCAGCCTTCATCTCCGTCTCCGGTGACTGCCCGCTGCACCTGGATGAGATCCGCCATTTCCTGACGCTGTGCCCGGAGCTTTCCCTCGGCTGGTTCGAGGAAGGGCGCCTGGTGGCCTTCATCATCGGCTCCCTGTGGGACCAGGACCGGCTCAGCCAGGTAGGAGCCGGGCCCAGGGTACGCGGAGCACAGACTCGGGTTGCCCTGCACGGCCCCGCTAACGGCCCCGTTCTCTCCCTGCAGGCGGCGCTGACCCTGCACGAGCCGCGGGGCACGGCGGTGCACATCCACGTGCTGGCCGTGCACCGAACCTTCCGCCAGCAGGGCAAGGGTTCCATCCTGATGTGGCGATACCTGCAGTACCTGCGCTGCCTGCCCTGCGCCCGGCGCGCAGTGCTCATGTGCGAACATTTCCTCGTGCCCTTCTATGAGAAGTGCGGTTTCAAAGCTCTGGGTCCCTGCCAGGTGACGGTGGGCACGTTGGCCTTCACTGAGATGCAGCACGAGGTGCGGGGCCATGCCTTCATGCGCAGGAACAGCGGCTGCTGAGCCCTGCAGCCCAGTTACGCACCAGCCGGGGGGAGGAAGAAGGCAGGGAGCGAATACTGTGAGCCCTCTCCACCCCCACCTCGGCTGCACATCTTTCCCTGCTGGCCCCAGCCACAGCTCCCTGCCCACACATCTGCCTTTTGGCCAAGGGATGAGCATGGCCCCAGCTCAGCCCTGTGCCTCACTCTCCCAGCGCTGGGGAAAAATTCAGCCTGCAAGCACCGAGCCTGCACCTCCCTCCCCTCCCCCCTTCTATAGTTGGGGCTGTGAAGGGGAGCCCAGGAAGGCTGTGCAACCAAAGGATCCGCTAGGGATGGAAAGAGCCTCAGCAGAGCCTGTAAGCCTTGAACCCCTAGTTCAGGGTCCCCTTCCCCAGCACAGCCCAACACCAGGCATGAGGCCAAGCCCTGCTCTGAGCAGCCCTTGCAGCCACCCCTCACCCAAAGACACCTTTACAGTAAGCATGAGACCCCCAGGGTGCCCCCACCCACGGCCACCCCAAATCACACAGCCAGGATCCTCCCTGCAGGGCCAGTCCTGCATGCAGACATCACCTGCCCACAAAGAGCCCTCTGCAAATGCCTTGGTCTATTGTGAAGCAGCAAATAAAGATGCAGTGGTTGTTTTCTACATGCCTGCCTATCTTTGCTCCCAGCTCCATGCACAGATGGGTCCAGCCAGACAGCCCAGACCCATCCACTGCTTTTTGGGGTTTTTCATCTTTAAGCAAAGTGGGGCAGATGTGTCCCAGGGTATCTGATGGGGTGATGCTGCCCTTGGGCAGGGAACGGAGGCCCTGTATGTCATTATGCCCTGCCCCAGGAGGGGTTTTTAGAGGGGAAGGAGGGAGAGCATCCCCCTGCAGAGCAGAGACAGCCCTACTGACTGCTGCCAAACCCCCCACCAAAAGCACAGAGGGAATCGAGGCCTTGTGGATCTCATTAAATACAGGTAGAAATTTATTCAGGGTCCAAAAAAATTCCACAGCTTTTTTTTTTTTAAAAAAAAAAAAAAAAAAAAGTATCAAAAAAAAGACAACTGAGGTGAGGTGCCAATCTTTGGCTGGAGCAGCACCGGAGGAGCAAGGAATGGGGCTGCAGCCGGCCTGCGGCAGAGCAGGGGGGGCACACATGGGGCTGAGACCCCAGCACCTGGATCGTTTTGATGAGGGACTTGTGCTGCTCCTTTGAACAGCGCTGTCACACACAGCACTGGATGTCACCTGCTTACACCCTGAAGGACAAGAGGTGACACCGTGGGTCCAGAGCAGTAGCAGGAGGGGGTCCTGAGGAGCCAAGCCCTGCCTCACCCTGGTGATCCAATAGGAGCCGAACAAAATCACTGGAGTGCTTTCTTCTATGCTTACATACCAGCACAGTGTTCCACTTACAGGGGGAACCTCACTGAGATGAGGGGAAAAAGCAGCACCCCCATCCCCCCCAGTGAGGAGCCCACCATGAGGAGCACAGCTTTGCTCCTGAGCCCCTGGGGAGCAAACAGGGGGCTGAAAAATATCTTCAATCCTTAGCTCTGAGTGTGTCAGAGCTGCAAAAAAAACAACAAACAAACCAAGAGGAAAAAAAAACCCAAACCTCCAGAGTCCTCCACTGTGGAAACCACCAGGGTCCCCCCACAGCCCATTCAGGAAAACACCTCCAGCCTCCCCAAAATTAAAAATCCCAAGGCTGAGAAGTGCTGGAGGACCCCATCCCACTGGGACAGGTTGGAGAAAGGGATGAACCAGAGCGTGGCCACAGAGCCCCTGTAAGCCCCGAGGTGATGGACACGACCAAGAGCCATAGGTACAAAAGCGCCCCTGCAAAAAGGGGGGTTGTGTTCACAGTAGGATTGGCACTGCTGGGCCCGGCTGCTGCCTCACCCCACAAGCTGTCCTGGGGTTAGGAGGGCCTGGAGGCCCCGAGCAGGCCGGTCCCAGCTCCGCAGCCCCTCCGTGGGTCAGTGCAGGACCTGCTCCAGCTCGTACTTCTCGCAGAACTTGCTGGTGAAGGGCAGGCAGGTGAGGTACTCGATCCAGCGCCAGTTGATGGGGTAAACATACAGCCAGATGAACAGCGAGGTGAAGAGGCCCAGGAAGACCAGCAGGGACACGATGATCATGGCCCGCTTGCGGTACTTGTCCATCGTGCCGAAGGTGATGTAGGGCAGGAAGGCAAAGGAGAGCAGCAGGCCGCTGAGGAAGCCGAAGAGGTGGGCAATGTTGTCGATCCAGGGCAGGAGGCCGCAGACGAAGAGGAAGAGGACGATGCCGGAGAGGTTGAGCAAGGCTTTCCACGGCTTCTCCAGCGCTTGCCAGCTCTGGAAGAGCTCCACGAAGAGGCAAGCCAGCAAACCGAACTGAGACCCAGCAGGGCCCACCTGCAAGAGGTCAGACCCCACTTACATCCCCCATCCGGGTCCCCACGGTCTCTCCCCTCACAGGACACATTTGCCGTGGGAGCGCCGGTGCTGTTTTGGCAGAGCCAGGCGTCGGGTACCTCCCACACCACCCCACACAGCAGGGGGATTAAGGCACTCGACGTGATCCCCTCTAAAGCCTGCCAGCTCTGCTGCCAGCAGATTAGCCATCTGCCAGCCTGCACACACCAACACGTGGGGCACACAGCCCACGTGAGCCCCACACATGGGGCAGAGACCCCCTCCCCCCACATGGCACAACCTGCTAAGGAGTGAGACCTCTGTGCTGGGCTTTGCAGCCCCCTCCCCATGAAGGGTGGGGTGCTTCAGGGTGCACCTCAGCTCAGGGTGGTGATGCTCTATGCACACAAGCACATTTGCTAAGTGCCCAGCCCAGAGATCATCTTGGGGGGGGGGAGCAGAGTTATGGGGAGATCCCCCCAGCTCCACAGGCTGCCCTCACCTCTGCTCGGTACGGTAGGAAGATGGCACTGGCCAGATTGCCTGTGATGCCACTGAGGATGAAGATGATGGAGATGCGGAGCCAGCCCGCCAGCTTCTCCAGATCCCGCAGCACTGTCATCTGGAAGGTCACTGACACCAGGCAGTGGATGATGCTGGAGGTGGAGGATCAGTGTTAGACTCCTGCCCTAACACAGCCCCTGCCCAGCGCTCCCACCCACTGCTCACAGACATAAGACAGCTCACAAAGCTGTCCCCCATTGATGGCACGCATTGCTATAGATTGGGAGTGCTCCCCCATCTCCCCTCCCAACCCATTAGGGACCACAGGCAGGCTGTCCCAAAGGATGCTGCCATCCCAAGCCACCCCCAGTGCCCACAGCCTGCTACTCACCCTGCATGCAGGAACAGGGACAGCCACAGGCGGTAGATCTGGTCGGGGACCTCTGGGTTGAGGAAGGGCAGGAGGCCACAGACTTCATCCAGGCAATGCACCTGGCAAGGCAGACGTGGGTGGGAGGTGATGGGGTGGCAGCCCATCCTGCTGGTGCCAGCACAATGATGCCCAGTCAGGCCGCTCACCCCAAGCCCCCTGTGCTCCCCCCACAGCCCCTCACCTGTGAGCAGAGAGTTGCCTCCTCGTGGAAGTAGCCATGCATGAACTCGCAGTACTCCCGTGTTGTGATCTCACAGCTGGGCAGAAGGCAGGCAGTGGGCTCACCTGGGGCAGGGTGCACCCCCTGCTCCAAGCACCCCCAGTGCAGGGTCCTGTCACTGCATTTCCCACCCTCAACCCCAGGGCCTCCCTCTATCCCTGGCACAACTCAGGACACCGATGGGGGGGTGCTGAAGAGCACCAGAAGAGCACAGGGAACACTGCCCAACCTGCCCCAGGCTTGGTGCCCGCTGGCTGTATCTCACCTGCCCTTGGTGCCGATGCAGCACGGCCTGCCCTTGATCTGGCAGTCCATGTGAGGGAGGCCTGTGTGGTTGGTTTTGGTCTCGTAGGTGCAGATCTACGATAAGGGAAAGGAGCTGCAGTAGGAGGGCTGCTAAGAGCCCACTACAGCCCCACACCGTGCTTGAGGCTGTCCACTTCCCACAGAGGCTGCATTGGTGTGGATGGTGGGCACCTCACTAAAGGCTCTTACCGGCCACCTGGTGATGTCATCTGGCCACACATGGGGGGGATTTGAGGCCGGCTCTTCACACGTCCTGATGACAGGAGAGGATGCAGGGGTCACTGAGAGTCTCCTCTCCCCAAGCACAACCCTGCCACCAGTCTGAGGCCAGGCACAAGACAGGGGACCTGCAGCCACCCCTCTAAGGTTCCCAGACTCAGGGAGATCCTTGCATGCTCAATATCCTACAGTGAAATGCACTGCAGCCAGATCACCCATCATGTAACTTCACTGAGCGTCCCCTTAAGATGTCACATGTCCCTGCTTATCTCAGCCCAGGGATCGGGGCAGGCAGGGCCAAGCTCAGGACAGCAATGCTCTTCAGGTGGCTTTCTGGCCCACCCACCACACTTAGAACATACCTCACCTCCACTTCCCCACCAATTCTCTCTTCCTCATTACCACCCCATGGCACAGAAGAGCCACCAACCCCTCGGCCAAACCGACTCCAGGCATTCAAGCTGCAAACCCAGCCCCACACAACCCACCTGGGGTCCTGGTGACACACAGCCCCCGACGTGCGCTTCTCACCGGAGCCCATGGTCGGCGTGTTGTTGTTGGGCCACTTGATGAACGTCGCCAGCGTTTCCTGCAGGGATGGAGATGCTCAGAGCGTGGGCATGCAGGAACTGCTCTGCTCCACGTGCACCCCGTGCCCCAGCCGTGCCCGCACCGAGCAGTCCTGTGGCAGCGTTTGGATGCAGCCCGATTTGTCATTCTGCACGCAGCAGCCAGAGTTCCGCTCCCGGTCCCGTTCGCGCTGGATGAGCCGCTCCACCTGGCGGTCCTTCCTGATGCAGGGTGAGAATTTGGCTCCCAGATGGATCAGGTCGATCTGAAAGGAGGGAGTGCTCTGAGGGATGCTCCAGGTCGTGTGCCATCTCCACCTCCCTTCCCAACTGCTGCCCCACTGGTGAGATCCACCCAAATGGATGGATGGCGGGCAGGGGACAGGCTCTCTCCCAAGCATCCACTGTGATGCTTTGGTTCTGGGGAATGCTGCGGAGCCTTGGCAGCAGGCAGGAGGAGCTCATAGAGGGAACCAAAGAGCAGGACAGCAGGTTAGGACTAGGATTACTGCCATGTAGCTAAGGGAGAGGAGAAGGGAGCACCCCTTGAGCCCCACCTCAGGCTGGCAAATCACTTACCGAGCTGGGCCCGATCCAGAAGTTCTCCTGTTGGATGTACTTGACACTTTCATACACACCTTTGTTCCTCAGCACCTGCAGAATGAGACCAGGGTCACACAGCCAGCTGGGGGGGGCACAGCCCCATAGTGCCACATCTCCTCCAACCACCTGCAGGGGCTGAACCCTTTGACCCTTCTGGGGCTGCATCCCCCACCCCAACAGGATTACCCCCACTATGTACTTGAGGACGACATTCAGGAGTCAGGCACCCAGGAGGGGACAGGCCTGGCTGGGAGCTCTTAAACTTACTAACTCTGTCGTCACATGCTGGGTGAAGCCAATGGGAGCGATGCCGTACGTGCCAATGACCAGCAAGGTGATGATGATGTGGACAAAGGTGATCCAGTAGGTGAAATACGGCCTGGGGAGCAAAGGGAACAGGGTCACGGCCCCTTGATGGCACAAGGATGCTGTAGTAACCTGGGGAGAGCAGCCCTGAAGCCCACTCCGATAGGGACGTAAATCCAAATTGCACCTATGGAGCCCCAAAGGAGCGGGGCTGACCCGGGCGGGCTGCAAGCTGTGCGCTCACCGGTGGCTGTCGGTGATCTCCAGCTGTGACTGCACGATGCTGCTGAGGCTGCGGCGGTACGTCCTGTTCAGACACTGCCCCACCACCCCCAGTCCATAGTAGCGTTTCTTGCGGTCGAAGGCGAAATGCTTCACTTTGGAAGCGATGCGTCTGCCCCTCTGGGGGGCCGGGCCAGCTGAGGCAGCAGCGAGACGGGCACCCTCACGTCTGCAGGGAGAGAAACCCATCAGCGAGGTAACAGCCTGGGGGCTGCCCCGCTCATCCCGAGGCCCTGGAACGGGGGCTGGGGAAATTTCTTGGCTTCGTCCTTGTAGCAGCCTGCTGGATGTGCCCAGCACCCTACAGCAGGGACGGGTGGACATGGTATTGGCTGGGGGGAGGTCAGGGCAGGGGGCTTGGGGTTGGCACTCACAGTGCGGTCTGCTCCACCTCTGGGGATGCCCTGACATCCTCCCCCACTGAGTGCATGCGTAAATACGTGGCTGAGAGTGGTGGTGACTCGAAGACGTCATCTGGCATGGAATAGGTCTCATCGTGTGTGTCCATCTGGAAGGAGCACGGAAGGGAGGGGGACAATGTGATCCCAATGACCACACACCACAGCCCATGTGAAGCGCCCACGATCCCATCACCAACGATTATCACTGAGTCCCTGCAGTGCTGGACACAACACCCACTCATGCCCTTGCTCTTGGGGTGGGGCTAAAGCACAGACACCAGGGGCCCTTGGCACACGCAGCTCCAAATACAGCCCAAACCCCATTTGGGTAAGAGACCAACCCTGGACCATGCTAAGAGCAAAGGAGGTGGGACAAACAGGGCTGCCCAGTGAGCCACTGTCCCAGTCAGAACGCTGCTCAGCCCCACGTGGGGCACTGGGACCCCCCAGCTCCAGCAGTAGGGGTGGAACAGTGCTTGCCTTACTGAAGAAGGAGGAGTCCAGCGTGTCAGCGGTATCCACCACGTCCTCATCCATGAAGCTGGGGTACATGAAGCTCCTCTTGGTGCTCCTCTGCTTCTCAGTCAGAGGCTCCAAGACAGAGCGGCCCTATGGCAGGGGAAGCAAATGAGGGTAAGGAACACAAAGCCTCAGCGCTGCAGAAAGTAGGGGGGCTCTGTCATAGCCACCCCCAAAGCCCAGCAAGTGGTGGCAAACATTAAATGCCAACCACGGCCCCGTGCTGAGGTCACGCAGCTGCCTGTTGCTCCGGAAAGCCATCAGTGCTGGGCCATGGCTGTGACAGGTGGCACAATTCTAAATCTCATTTTAGGTCTCTGCCCCACATCTCCTGGAGACCCATCTCCAAGGCTTGCAGGGGACTCCCCAGGTGACAGAAAGTGCCAGAGAAACTTCCGCTGCAGCAAAAGGTTGCTGGCTTGACACAAAGGCTGCTATTTTCGAGGGACGGCGTGTGAGACAGTTCCACTTTCTGATCCACTTTCCACCAGAACTTCTCTTTTTAAGGTTAAAACCCACCACCTCCCCCTCCCAACACGCAGCAGAGTGCAACAACCGTCTTTGTGCAAAGCAAAAAGCCAAGAAACAAAGACAACAGAAGGCTGAGAAGTGAACCAAGAGGACGATCCCTTTCCCCAACACTCACACGGAGCAGCGCGGCGGCCGCCCTGAAGCTCATGTGCGCCACGGAGAGCCTCTTGCGGCGCGGCAGGCGGCTGTAAGCAGAGCGGGCACTGCCCAGGGATGCCAGCGACGTGACACCAGGGGTGTGGGGGGGCAGGACGTGGTGGGGCGTATGGGGACGGTCGGTGTCATCGGGGTGGCGGAAGGGACGGCCCCTGGCCAGAGGGTCCACGATCTGGAAGGGGGAGAGGTGTGTTGGTGATGGGGAAGGGCCGGCGGGCTGTCCCCGTGCTCCGAGCTGTACCTTGGGCATCTTGGCCGGTTTGGGTGACTCGGTGCCTTGGAAGGAGGGCACCTCCTGGCTGGGCAGCTCCATGTCGCGATAGGCAGCCTTCAGTTTGCCGTACCTCATGCTGCAGTGCTGCAAGCTGCGGCGCTGCCAGTGCTGCCGCTTCCCCTCCCAGTCGCCGCTGACGCCGAACCATTCCGCCGTGCCCCTGGGTGTGTGATGGATGCACTCCAGCAGCCGCTCAGCCCCCCGCTGTCACCGTCCCACCCTGCCCTCCCTCCAGCTGGGGATTGGAGCTCGGTGGCTCAGCACGGTGCTGACAGATCTGTGGGTTGGGGCAGACGGGTTGCTGCTCCACTTAGCCTAGCTGAGATACCCTGTATCAGGATGCACACAACTCGAGGCATTTGCTCCTACAGCACCAAGACATTTTCACAGCCAATTCTACCACGTGCTCATCCAACAGCTGAGCCACGTGGCACCCATCGAGGCTTTCCCTTGGGCTGGTGCCCACATCCCTGCCATGGACACCCCCCAAGCCCTCACTTGCGGATGCTCTGGGACAGAGATGTCTGTCGGCGGAAGCCCGGCCGCCGCTCCGAGTTCTCACATCCCTTTGAGCGTGGCTCCTGCAGGCTCTTGCTCTTCCGATAGATGGGCACCTTGGAGGGCTGGGAGGCAGAGCACAGGGTTACGGAGCACAGAGGATAACGATAACCAAACCCCACGTGGGATGGAGAGGTGCCTCCCAGAGCTCACCTCCTTGTGGGTGCCGTCCTCCTCTGCCTCCCGGGGCGGGGGGATCACGATGGAGAGGTTGGGGGGCTTCTTGCTCTGCAGGCGGCTGCTGCTGGAGCGGCTGCTCCCATTCTTGTTGCTGGATGCCATCCTGAGTGGGTGGCAGGCTGCGGGGGGGAGCAGGGAGTGAGTGGGGGAAGGCAGCCACAGCCCTATTGCTGCATCCCTTCCTCCTGTTCTCTGCAGGGTAAGTGCATCGGTGTGGAAATGGCAGCAGGAGCATTAATGTTAATGGGGCTCTGCCTGAGGGGAACCCCAGAGGGAAGGGAAATGCTGCAAGCACTTCCCCCCTCACTGGGAGGGATGTGCATCGCTCTCTTCTGATGGCTTACAGCTACCTGGGAGACCCCGCAGGGCAGCACTGAGGCATCCCAGACAAGAGGAAAGCCCCAAGGCTGCGTCCCCAACACCTCCTGGCCATAGCATCAGCACAATACCCATGGCACTGGGCATGCAAAGCGTTCCCCTCACGCACATGTTGGGCTCTTGGCCAGCAGGACAAGGCAGAGCACACCAAAATCTGCCCAGCGCACAGAGCGGGGGCTTAACAGCCAGGAGCAAAATCTTTGGGCAACCCCTTCCTGAGAGTCCCCCTGCAGCTCTGCAACACCAAGCAGAGCCTCACGAGTCAACAGGGAAAAGTAATCCCATCTGAGCACAAGGGAGCAGTCCTAAATCCTATTAGGGACTGTGGGCTCCTGCTGGGATGGACGCTCAGCCCCTTGGCCTCTCACCATCCACGTGCACCAAGGGCACCTGCCCAGGGCTCGCTGCTGACAGGCATTCCCCCGTCCTGCTTGGTGTGTCCAACAGATGCCAGAGTCCTGCTGAGGGGCAGCCATGAGACAGCAGGATCAATGGCAAGGCACCCTGGAGTACACCTGCACCCTGCTCTGATCCCTTTGTGCTGCTCCTCCCCACCACTGGCCTTAGGAGCTCGGTGTCCCATGGGATGAGCTCCTTGAGGACGCTGGCACTAGAGGGCAGCCACTACCCAGCACAGCCTGGTGCCGCAGCCCAAACATGCAGGGCTTAAATCCAGCACTGCTGTCCCATAGAAAAGGGCAGAGGGCTTAGAGGGCTCCCTTTCCCCAGTTAACCCCACTCTCCACCAGCCTCAATGAGGCTGCAGAGGGTAACTGATGGAGAGAATCTGGATGGGAAGAAGAGAGGCACCACTGCCACAAATGTGATTAGAATCAGATGTTTGAAGCCCCCATCTCAGCATATCTGGGATGCTCCTACCTCATAAGCGTGGCAGGGATCCCACGCAGTGCGTCTCAATGGACTCCTTCTTCCTTCTCCTCTGTCCTTCACGCATGGGAGTCCCAGGGCATGGCTGAGGTTCTCTTGCTCTGCCTGGTGGGACTGGTGCTGCAAGAGAAAAGCAGGGGTGAGAGATCAGGTCCAGCCTACAGAAACCTTCCTGGGAGAAGCTTTGGGGACAGGGCTGTGAAAGGAAGCAGAAGCACCAGGGTAAGGGCAGAGCCATCCAAAAACATCAGGGCAGGATGCTGGGACAAAGCCACAAAGCCACACCGCTGCATGGCTCTGGGCAGCCACAGGACATGGGGGATCATGCTGCGGTCACTGGCACAGGGTGAGGGAAAGCCACTGCACCTGGCACCTTGGCAGAGACAACACAGGGCTGAAGGGGAATTTTTTCACCCAAAGCTCTCAACAGAGTGAGAAAAAGAGCAGGAAAGAAACACAAGTGCTGTGCAGAGGTATTTGATGACTGCTGAGCTGGGAAGGCGCCAGCCAGGCAGTCCGGCCCCAGCAAGTGAAACTTTCCATCTCACTGGGGAACTGCAGATGCTGTTTGTTTTCCTCCCAGGGTAGCCAGCAATGAGGCAGAGGTGCCAGCTGCAGGCAGGGCTGGCTCCGGGGAGCCTGAGGAGATGGGGGCAGGGATATGCTGGGCACAGGGACATGCAGCTGTGGGTGCTGCTATGACCACCAGCATCCCTCATGCCGCCCCTGCCACGGATGCACTCAGCACAGCAAGCAGGACACAGGGGAAACTGGAGGAGAACTTGGAACCAATGCTGCTGTTTGGCGACGCGAAAGGAGTGGTGCTGTTTGTGCCCCTGATCCCATCACTAATTGCTCCATCAGACTCCCACACAGCTCCAGGTGAGAACCTTAATGCTCTCCGGGGAAGCACATTTGCAATGCACCCAACCACTGAGTGCCTCCCACGCAGCGTGGGAGCAGCAGTTGGGCAGCTGTACCCCATCCAGCACCTGCAGGCCTGATCATGTGGCCAGAGCACTTTTCACGGCTCCTTGAATTAAAGCAATGCTTGGCATCCAGAGAGCAGGAAGAGGGGAGCAGCCCCTGCCAGCTAAGTCCCCTGGGTTATCCAGGCACAGGGCTGGGGAGCATCCATCCCACGAGGTGTGGGAAGTTTCACCCCACGCCAGCAAAAAGCCTCTGGGATGGGGCTGGGAATGCATTTATCTGTTCCCCTACACTCTTGGCACTGGCATGCAGCCCTTCAAGTGCTGGCACAGCTCTCACTCAGTGTGCTCAGCGTGAGAACAGGCAGCCTGAGCCCGAAACAAGCTGCAAGGAGCTGCAGCCACAGCCAGCACAGCCCTTCACCCTCCAAAGCACGGCACAGAGGGGTTTGTCAGCGCTGTGGGGCCCAGTCTTGCTCACCTCAGGGTCACCCATGTGTCCCCATTGGGGCCAGGCAAGAGAATTTTGCCTTCACCCAGGCGAGGGCTGGGGCTCTGGGCTGAGCCACAAGAGATGCTGACCCAAGGAAACACACCCAGAGAGGAAAGTGGTGGAAAAAGTGACGCAGCTCACACATGGCATCAGCACAGGGCGATGCCAGGATGCTGTGAGCAAGGAACCAGAGCAAAGGGACTGGCAGCAGTACCACGCACCAACCCACAGAGCCCCCATACAAGACACTGCTGACACCCCTCTGAGGCAGCCCTGCAAAGAGCCGTTCCATTAACAGAGCACCACAACACCAGCATGCCCATCAATGATTCAGGAGCACACTGAAGCTGCCCATCAGCACTGGAGCCTCGGTTGCACTGAGATAAAGAGCTGCCTTCGCCTTGCCAAGCAAACCTCTTCAATCTGCCCAGCACCTCCATGGACTCCCCAAGCCCAAACCTAAAACCCAAAGCTAAAACCTTACCGAGAGCAGCAGGGCCGGGCAGGAGCCTGACAAGTTCCCTGGGTGCGCAATTGGGAAACTCTCCTCACTTTCCTTCTGCCTATTCCCACAGCAAGCAGGACATTGGGCAACTGCCGCGTGGTTTGTTCATCCCGGATGAGTTTCAGGCACTCGGCACACCCTGAAAGGAAGCAAAACCACGCGGCCGAGATAGAGGCACCAACCCACGGAGTGTGCTGGTGGCTGTGATAACGCTGAGCCAGCTTTCCTCCTCCCCCCTCCCATCTGCACGCAGCTCGGGCATTGGGTGAGGAGGTGAGGGCAGATGGGCAGCATGGCTGCGCGTTGGGGCACCTCCCCGTGGCACAACCCTACAAGAGCACAGATCCCCCGTCAGGACCACCTCCTCCCCACAGCAGTGCTTCCAGGAGCCGTGTTTCTCCGGGTTTCCTGAGCCACTATCTGCACGGAAAGGGAAGGACTCACCCACAATAGCTGGATGGGGATCTTCCCAGCCCACTTCCCAAGGCACATGCATTCCCAGCACGTCCCCCTCTGCCCAAGGAGTTGATACCCAAACACCCCCCAACCCATTGCAAAAAGGCTCTGCTCTTTGTGATCCCATCTGCAGCCCCACGTCCTCGCTGTACACGCACCCCAACACCACGTGCAGCACAGATTCCCCAAGCTGCTGGGCTTCATTAACCCGGCTCAAGCCGCACAATTCTTCAGAGCTTCCCCAATTCCTGGTTGGGCTCTGGGTCCCCCTGTGCAGGGTATGGCTCTGCAGAGCAGGGAATATCAGGGCTTTCCCCCAGCTCGCTCTCACTTCCCCAGATGCAAAATTCTTTGTGTGGGAGAGCAAAGGGCAGACGCTCATTCCTCCACATCTGCAAAATGCTGCTGCTTTGAGAGCTGCTCTTGGAAAGAGCACGTGGCCAGGATCTGCAAACTCCCTCAGCACTCTGCTCCAGGGAGAAATGTCCTGCTGGGGTCTCTGTGTTTGCTGGGGATTTCTCCTGAGCTCAGAGCATCACCATGGGATGCGGCAGCAGGAGGTGATGCTTGGTCCTGTGCAGAAATTCCACCCACCCAATCATGAGATAATTGTGGGCATTCAGTGCAACCCTCACCACGGCCAAACAGCGAGGAGAGCTGCTTGGCCCCAGGCTTGTATCTCCTGGAGCAGAATGCTTATCTGCACATAGCCACCCCCAGGCTTGTGTCACTGTCCCACCACTGCACGCACACCCACCCCTCCTCCAAAGCATCAGCCGGTTCTGCAGCCTCATCATCTGTCCCAAATTCCATCCAGGAAGGTTTATCCCACTCCTCCCCAGTGCAAGACCTGCATTCCCCACAGGAAAGCCCAGCTGGGAGCGGTCCACCCTGTCCCACACATCCCATCCAACGCAGCACGAGCTGAGCACAGAGCACCCAAACACAGCAACACCACACGATGCTGTGCCCCCATCCCAGCCCCACTCCCTGCTGCGAGCTTCCAAGCCCTTCCCAGGCCCAGCACCCCTCCTGCACATCATAGCAGCGTGCCAGGAGCACACTCTGCAGCCTCTCGGGTGCCAAGAGCTGCTGCCTTCCTCCTCCTCAAGCTGGTGTGGTCCCAGCATTCACTTACCCATCCCTCCCCAGGGATGCTTTGCCATTCATTCCCATCTCCCAGCTCCTTGCTGGCGCACAGGCTGCACCCGCAGGGCCCCCACCTGCAGCACGCTCACTCCCAGCCCTCCCCCCAGCTCCAGCATTCCCACAGCCAGCGAATTACAGGGATAACCCAGCCAAATCCCCAGCACAAGCTGCTGCATGACGCACGGCGGCACCTTGGAGCTGGGCAGCATGAATGCGTGGACACAGCCCTGCCCCGAGCTGCTCAGCACTGGGGACGTGATGGCACCATCTATGGGGAAACCCACAGCTCCCAGCCAACCTGCTGTCCCTTGGTACACAGGGCAGCCCCCGTGATGGGGTCACGGATGGAGCTGAGCCTCGCTCAGCTCACTCTCCCCACACACACATCAATGCAGCCCCATGCTCAGCATGTGGCTTTGCACCCACGCCTGCCCCACGGATGTGGCATTTTGCACGTGGGGAAACATGAGGCAATGTCTTAAAATGAGCTGCCCGCTCACAGACATGGAAATTTCAGAGCAAAGTGAGGGCAGCGAGGTGTGGGCAGGCAGCAGGGGAGGTGTTGGAACCCCCCACACAAAGGCTGTGCCCACGGCCCTGCTGCAGTGCAATTACGTGAGAAACAGAATCATAGAATGGCTTGGGTTGGAAGGGACCTCAAGGATCAGGAATCTCCAACCTCCCCTACTGCATGCAGGGCCACCAAACCTCCACATTTAACACCAGCCCAGGCTGCCCAGGGCCCCATCCAACCTGGCCTTGAACACCTCCAGGGATGGACGGGGCATCCACAGCCTCTCTGGGCAGCTGTTCCAGCACCTCACCACTCTCACAATGAAGAACTTCCTCCTGACATCCAACCTAAACCTTCCCTCCTTCAACTTCAAACCATTTCCCCTTGTCCTGCCATTATTTACCTTTCAAAGAGTTGGCTCCTCTCGTTTGTAGGCTCCCTTTAGGTACTGGAAGGAGCTAGAGTGAGAACGGCAAGGCTTTGCATGATGCTTGCAAGAAAAAGCACAGCTCTCAGCACTACTCAAAGGCTGGGGAAAAGATTGTGACCCCAAACACCAAAAGATTCCCAATGACCCTAAAGCCTGGCTTTCAACACCACTTTGCTGACATCCCCAAGCCCAACGACCACTGGACAAAAGCTTTTCCAAAGCAACGAGTGATCACTCATGGGCAGTATGGATTTAAGAGAAGTAATGTGGTCTCAGCCTTCAATAATTTACTCACATTGTGCAAACCCCCTGCAGCACAAAGCCCCCCCCAGAGAACACAAAGGAAGAACGGGGCTGCAGGAACATCCAGGTGGGGTTGGCTCCAGCTCTGTTTGCATGAGAGAAGTTCTGAGGGTTTTTGCTGAGCAAAGTGAGGTCCGCTCACTGCTCCCCACCTCCTCCTTCAGCCCTCAGAATGGATGTGGAGCCGAACGCCTCCAGGGTTGTTTCCCAAGGGAAGGATGCAAGCGAGGCTTCCTTGAGTTTACACCAAGTTAAACAGGAGTGACATCAAAGGTAAAAAAAACCCAAGAAAACCAACCAGCAGCCCTCAGACAGAGGACAGCCACGTGCTGCAGCCAAACAATGCGACCCAATTCAACGTGAATTCCCCCCCTCCTCCAGCCCATCCCCAGGAGCTTCAGTCCCATACCCCCATGGGATTTAGGACCTGGCCCTACAGCACACACAACCATCGTTCCCCAGCTCCCTGCTTGCATGTGTGCCTGAAAGCCATGCCCTCACAGCCCTGTGCTCAACACAACACAGCTATTTTGCCATCACCCCTCAACCCATGCTGTGATTTTAACCCTCATCCACCCCACAGCTCCAGCACCCCTGGGTGCAGCTCCCACTGCAGCCACCTCTGCTGTGCAGGAGCACAGCAGCAGCGCTGAGGGTCCCAGAGCATTTGTGGCAAAGGGACCCCAAAAACAACAAAGCAGAAAAGTCCCAATGGACCTCTAAGCATTCGTGGCCAAAAGGGTCCCCAGTCAAGGGGTCCCCAGTCAAGGGGTCCCCAGTCAAGGG